CAGACCTTGACTGGATTCAAGCACTTTTAGCATTGTTGCCTCTAGAACTGAATGTACTTGGAACTTTTCATTTTGGAAGTCTTGCCAAACGATACCAAATACTTCTTGGTAATTATTCTAGAAATATACAATTGATACTAAAAATTATTCCTCACCACAGGTTATTTTTGACATTTAAACTATCCACAGCCTCTTTAATTGGTATGGCAAAAGGAAGTATTTGGAAACTCATACAAGGTCATATTTATCGAAGTTGAATGAATAACGAAGCAAGACCAGAGGTCTGTGTGCGTCATAGCTCAAAATAGCTATGTGGTTTGGGCCCACATTATATGTGGTCTGAAGTGGGTGTCAACATCAGCAGGACCGGGCAACAAACAAATCCTCTGTGATTTGGCATTGATGTTAGCATAAGTGAGTGAATAGTCCATCAATGTGAACATCAGATTTGAACCCCTAAAACTCACTTCACAATCCTAACACCATGATTGACGTGTTGATTTCAAGGTAGCTACTGAATAATATGTCCTAAAGTCTGAATAATAAAGCTGATTACTTAAATGCAGTGGAAGTATTTTATATAGCTTTTTTCAGGTTGCACATGTTTTAAAGTCAGAATAGTGCCTGATATCCTTTCATCTGAATCAGACAGACAAGGGCATCATGGGCAGGATGGCTGTGAGGGCTAAACAGTGAGATTTTGGCTGACTAGGAGAGCTCATGGGTAAATTGAGGTACTTAAAAAGGAGCTCTGTTCACATGTAACCGGATCTGCTCTCCACTGGGGCCAGGCATTCCACTCTGCACACTGAGGAGTCTCATGAACACAATGAGTAGGCGATAGGCAGCGCCAGGCCAAGATTTATCAACACCCCTGAAACATGCACCTTACCTGACCACACAAAACAATAACGTGATGTAGCTGAACTAAAGAAATGGCATACACACGGTCAGTTGGATTTTTAAATATTTGTTTTATTTAGCAGTTTAAGAGTGCAGTACATAAAGTATCAGTTGGCAGTCAGAAAATCCTTAATGTAAACCTGAACAACACGTTTTGTGAATGTACTAGAAGCTGGGGAGGACACAGTGCTGTCAGTTGGAAGGCAGCCAGTCTAAATAGCGTTTGGTGGCGAATACTGTGGATTTGGCTTCCATGTGGAATTTGGTTACCATGACAACAGTGAGAGAACATTCTGCTGGGTAATCTTCAAGTGACAAAAAGGCTTCTATCATATCCCTTCTTCGTACATTATGATCCTGAACCGACATATACAGCTAAAAATGTTAAAACTTAACTTTATATGAAATATTCTTAAAAATAGAGCAGTCAAAAAGGCTCTTGCCATAGATATCATATATCAGCACTGCCCGAAGTTGGCCTGGGGGGTTACCCCAAACCCAATATCTCACCCGAGAAGAAAATACATTGCATTGTATTTTAGTAAATTTAGTAATTTAGTAAAATAGTGTAATGTTCTTGATTCAAAACCTACCTGCCTTCTTTTTTTTGTATTGTATTGTATTGTCTTTTTGGCCCACCAGAAACATTACACTTTGCCCACCCCCAAGAAAAATGTTTGCGCACTTGCTATAGAAGAAGAATTTTTGATTCACCAAAGAACCTTTCAGTGGAAGTTCTTTGAAGAGCTATTTTTGAAAATGAGATATGAGAAAGTGGAGGAATTGTTTTTACAGTTTAAAGAAACTCTGAAACCTTTCATTACGAGAGCTACGTTTACATACACCAAACGATGTGTCTACATCACACAGTTTGCAGGAGTTTGAAAGGGTGGGATGAATGACAGACGTGACTCACAAATCTCTTGATGTGGAGGAGAGAAACTCTGACTCATGACACATGGAAGAGCATTGCATATGACACCGGTCTTCCAGTGTGGGGTTCATAGTTCCTCATACAGACCTAAGCCAGAAACCTACTGTTTTATTTAGACAGCTGGCTAAATGACTACTATGATTCAGGACTTACTGTAAGTTAGCAAGTTCACATTACCTTCTCAGTAGGCCGCTAAAGTCAATCATCATATATGGACAAATATGAAAAAAAAACACTGATAGCATATTTTGCATGATTTGCAGGCATTTAAATGACTTCCAAGATATCTTCCCTGCTGCACAGTTATAGACATGTTGGACACTGACTGATGTTAATACCATGTAATGGACGGCATTACCAGACAGTATTAGACACATATAGTTAGATCTAACCGTGTCTGGTAAGACGCCAATCACCAGGCCTTGTTGCTTCTTTGACATCCAACATGCACATTTATCATACTGGGTTGACACATTTGAAGTTCTAGGAAAAAAAAGAAATGAAATTCAGTGAAATGTCGTACAGACTGTGACTGAAATATGATAAAGCCTACTGACATTGACTTTGAAACCCACAATACATTTACATTGAGGCCTGAGAGAGGGGAAAAAAGAGGGGAACAAAAGAAGAGATGAAAGCGGTGAATACTGCCTGCTTTGTGAAGGTAAATGATGTGACTTTGTAAAGCTGGCTAGTAAAAATACGAAAGGGACATGAATAACAAACATGAGTCAATTTAATACATCTGTGACACAGATAAAGGAAAAGTACCCCAGACGGGCAAACAAGGGTGCGGTTCAATATTTATGAGTCAATTCTTCCACCTTAAACAAACACTGGGTTGTAAAGACTGTGTTTGACATTTGCTTATATGTGTACATTTCACTGTTTTTTCAGTGATGAGAAGAAAACAAGGATTTTCAACAGCTAAAACTATAAAATATGAGCTACAAAGAGGTTAATCTTTCCAGTTACATCATCTTTGAGAACTTTGCCAAAGCTTTAGCGTATTTGTTTGTAGTGCTCCCTTTTACTTAAAAAGTCCTAAAACTTAAGAGGTTTGACTAAAAAAGTGAAAATATATCAAGATTATTATGAGATAATGTCTGAATATACTATCTCCGCTCTGTTTGTCTGAGGGAAAATGTGTGGTGTATTTAAATTAACTTTTAAATATGCACAAAAAAGTACAACATGAACGTTCACTCTACACTACACGCTATTCAGGAAAATATATGAGCAAGGATGGGCATGAGAGGGGGAATGGGAAGAGGAGGAGTCCGCAGTGTCGTTAAAGTCTATTTTTATCATGAGCCTTCAGGTGAGCTCATGTGTCAGTTGCAGGATGTGCCACGCAAGTAAGATGAGCTGGGCCAATCACAGCTCGCCTACAGTCACAAAAGCCACACAGAGCGCTGGGGGGAGGGGACGAGGAAACGTCTTTCAGCAGGCTGGTTCAACAGGCAACGGACTGGTATTCTTTAACTAAAGCTGGGTGGGGTCAGGCAGCCCGAAAAATGGGAGAGGGAAGTGAATAAAACAAAGTAGAGTACATTAGACACTCCCTCTCTTTTCCCTCTCTTTCCCCCCCTCAAGTCATTTCTCATGACCTGACCTATTATTTCCTCCTAACGCCTGGGATCGTCACACAAAAGCAGCCTGCCAGTCATTTTGACACGCAACCTTACAACATACTCCTCTTTCCCCGGTTTCACCTGCCTGTCCTTCGAACTAATAGACTACTTGTACACTAAAGAAATAAGGGTTCCTGGCTTGAATGTGTAGTTCCTGGGTAACTTTTAGGTTATGTGGAAGGTGTTTAACTGAAAAATGTTCTTCATACTTGCACAGCTCATTTAAAAGAATGGTTCTTAAAGAATTGCCCACTGAAAGGTTCTTCAGAGAACTGAAAGTGGTTGTTTTATGACAGAACTCCAGAGAAACCTTTGGCCCCTTTGTTTTTAATAGTGTAGCTAAAAAAGCCAAATGGTGTATCATATAATATGCCCTAAAAAACCCATTTTCTTGTCTGAGATTCCAAATGTAGAATTTACCCAAAAAAAACACAAAATAATAACCAACACACTAAAAGATTCGAAGTCCAAGGAATAGACAACAGCAATTCTACAAAATTGCTTGGAATAAAATCTTGTTACATTGACTTAAAAGTAACGTTACCATTTTGGAGTTACCTTTTTGTTTTTGGGACAGCGATGATATACAAGTCACAAGATTTATAATTAAATAATAAGCCTGTAGTTTAAGAGGCTGAAATATTCACATGGATCATCTATATAAAAAAAGTGCTGATGTGCAGAAGAGTCATACTAAGAAACATAATCTCCAAGATTCCTGGGAGTCCTGTGTGTGTATTGCAAACTGTGAAATAAACACCTGCCCTGACCTGGTATTTTCATACTAACAGTAAAAATAAGGACAAAACAAATGCCACCGAGCACTATGTGGGTGATAAGGACAGTTACTGTGACAACAAAGTGCTTCCATTGTCCATGACTTGAGTCTTTCTTTTTCAGTTGCCTTGCTAACAACGCGTACAAACAAAACTACTTTTTGGCACAGCATTAATCCTGGAGACCAACTGCAGCCAAATGCTAATAAAGATTACACCATGAGAGAAAACATTCACATTGTCTGCCTGACATGGACATGCTAATCACATGACCTGACACAAAGTGGAGAGATCCTTTGCAGTATTTTGGCCACCCAACAAACATCGTTACCAGACAGTGTTAGAAAACAGATACACAGTCCAGCACTGTCCGGTAAGATGGGTGCTAAGTGCCATTTGTCCACCTTAAGTAGCTTTGTATTGTCAAAACTGGTCTGGAGGCCTCATAGAGACCCAACGTTTGTCGAGGGGGGAACAGCACTACAGTGTGCTGTAGCTTCTGAAGTCAGTAGACAGCCATCATCATCATTACCAGGCAGTATTAGAGAGAGAGAAGATATCCAATGCTGCCTCGTAAGATGGAGAAGACTATCCAAACAGTTCTTGGAGTGACAGCTTCTTGTTATTTTGAGTGGCACAAAAAAAGCACAAAATAGAAAATACTGTCATATCAAACCCTTGTAACTCCATTTTATACCCTGTATAGCTGTGTTTTACATTTTGTGAACACTATGATGAATAGACGTACAGAAATGGTCCCGAATTACTTGGAATAAAATATCATAATAAATGTTTTTTCCTTCTGTTGTTAACTTTCCATTTTGGAGTACAAGCTTTTGTTACAACAGCAAGAGCTTTCATAACAGTTTCGGAGTCAGTTAAAATCCTGTTGAATGTGTTCCCCCAGTGTTGCATCAGACCCGATACTAACCGCCATAAAACACTAAAACAGCAGCTATGATGAGCTGGGGCTGATAACAAAGCTCTAGCACAGTGAACCACCTGCCCTGAGGAAGTGGGGAGGCATAAAGGAGGATATACAGCAAAAAACGTCTCGCTCCAAAAACTGGTAAAGCTGGAATTGTACACGCAGTAGATTGCTTTGTTCTTCTGTTAGCTGCGGCTTAGCCGAGCAACCAAAGCAGAGAGAGAGAGAGTGGGCCACTGAGGCAGTTAATAATTGTCCAAACCTGTTCCGACTGGTCTGATTTGACACCACAGGCTGGAGAGCTGCTCTATCTTACAATAGAATGTTTGGCTTTAGACAGCATCGGTCTACAGCGTACCCCCGCCCAAAAAAACGACTGTGTGGAAAGCAACAAAGGCCTGGACTGGGTGGTGCTGATTTTCGTTCGTCTTCTGGAGGACATAAGAGACAGGCCTCGCATTGTTAGTGTACAATGAACATGCAGAGCTGATTCTACCGGCTGCTGGTTAGACTTTCTGTATTACTGTGTGCAGTGATAACAGCATGGAGGAATGCTGCACTGGACTGACCTGTGACCAATCTCTGTGTGCGGAAGGTCGTTCTACACACCTTTCATTTACTGAATAACACCTGAAGTTTACAGCCATACAGTGCGAGGCTGAAGCCGTAGTGGAGCGATAAGTACAAGTTTTCTGCCTTTTACAGTTTTTGCAAGGAAAAAGCTACCAGAAATGGAAGAAGATGCTAGATTTGCATGTCTTTATACATCATTAGTATGAAAATTATTAGTTCTTCAAGCTGTTTTACCAAAGCAACAACATTTACCTATGAGTATTTTAGCTAAAACATAATAATAATCACTGATCAACATTAAAGATGAACCTAAATTTAACCTAAAACAGTGAGTTTTCAATAATATTGTCTTTAAAGTAGATGCGAGAGAATGAAACAAGTTAAGAACAGGAAGGGGATAAAGAGAAAGAGAGAGAGAGAGTAAAAGAGGAAAAGCTCCTCATGTAGAGATGGCTAAAGGAGAGCGAGCTTGTACACGAGAGAAAGGGAGCGAGCGAGAGAGAGTACCTGTAACCTTACCGTGGTGAAAGGGACTCAGGTAAAGAATGTGACAAAAAAAGTGAGTAGGGGGGAAAGAAAAGAAAGGAAAAAAAATCTCAGATTTCCACCAAGTGCCTGAGAAGGCTGCGGCTTCCTCTTGCTCAGTCAGGACCCATGAAATGAAAACCCCAAGCAGACCCGCTCTCCCAGACTGCAGCCTCTATTTAGTTAATCATCAGCATTATAAACCAGTGCTGCAGGCCTTCTGAGAAAGAAAAAAGAGGGAGAGAGGGAGAAAGAGGGAGAAAAGGGGAAAGAGAATAAGCATTAAAGACGGCAGAGGGAGGTAGAAAACATGAGACAAGTGCATACTGTGATACTCTGCACCATCTACCTTAGTTGCTTACTTTCTTTCTTTTCCTTCCTCTTCTCTGTTTTAAACCGAGTTAGAGCTGTTTTTTCTCCTGGTTCGGTGGCAGTCAGGTGTGCTTTAACCTTTTCCCGCTGCCTAGAGTGAAGGGTGATCGGGTAACTGGGCCCTCCTGACTGGAACGTGACTCCACAGTGAAGTGACCAACCTGAAGGCTAAGCTAGGCTGAACCTTAATCAATAGTTGGTGTCTGTGTGAAGAACAAAGCGAAGGGAAACCGTAAACCTTAGTTAAAGGCGGGTCTTGCACTGCCAGCTCTAATTGCGTTTCGGGTTTAAATGGGCGTGTTGCTTTGTGTCGTTTCTCTGTGGGCATCGCTGTCACACAGAGTTAAACCTAACGTTTAGCCAACGTTTAACTACGCCAAGCGGTGGCAGTCTCTCTTTTTACAGTCGGTTAATGGTTGAAAGGTAATCAACCTTTGCGATGAAGTATTTTGAATATCTCCTAAGCATTTGAATTCCTATGACCACCCTTTCGTTTTCTATTCTGACTAGCAGTAGAAATAGATTAAACGTATTTGCATTAACTTGTTGATCAAAGAATGTATATATATATATATATATATATATATATATATATATATATATATATATATATATATATACATACATGAAGGTGCTGTTCATATTATTGTTGTAGATGAGCTAGTCTTAATGTTCTTCAATGAAAAACATACCCATTAACAAGTGAAAAATGACTTGAAAGGCTTGTTTCCAAATCCCTTGTTTTGTGCTTTGTCAGAATGACCTTAAAATGGCTTAAAAGCATCAAAATTGATGAAAACCTGGATAAATATCCAGCAGGAAATGGTGAATTTAACATGAATGATAGCAGACTGCTTAGTCACAGTCACCCTGATTAAAAAGGCTGTTCTTAGGTAAACAAACCCAGTGTGCTGAACTTCTCTGACCTCTCACCTGTGCATGATAATTAACACTCCATTTTCCTCCCCCTGGCCTCATGAAGGAACAAACATACACAAGCCACTGTCCAGCTCCTGCATTTGCTTTGCACTCTGCAGCTAGAATAATCTCACTTTAAACTGCCGTTGGGTTTTATCACCTTCCAGTGGGGACTTGTGTTACCCAGCTGTATTCTCCTGCAGGGGAGCACGACTCTGATAATGCTTTGGCTGGGTTATAAAACTGTGACAAATGAGTCATTCAGATGAGGGAATGAAACAGACTCATTTTCCTCCTTCCACCAATCAAATGCCTCCACCTCACTATGCATCCATTGTACTGGCCGGCCGACATTTTCTCCCTGCTTGAAGACCACCGCCACAAAACACAGCTTCCTTCCACATAATGAAGAAATTCAGAAATGGCATTCATATCGTAAGATTGTCAAACAGCAATTTCTATTAAGCAGGCATTGTAATAAATGACAAAATGTCAAAAGCCTTCATAACCTACCCCCAGCTCATCTCACTGGCATCAAAAGCAAGCTAAACTAGAAATCGCTGTTTCTTTTAAAAACATGCCAAAGAGACACGTAAGGACAAGCCTAACTCGCAGCCGTTAGGGTTGCAACGGAAAAGCCTGAGCAAAGCTTAGATGCTCAAAATCAACAGGTTATGTAAACCAGCCAACCTACATCTAAAATCTAAAGAAGCGCAATTTCAATCCTTTTAGGTGCCCAAAAAGCCATTCTAAGTGTTTGAAATGTTTAAATATATCTGTTCATGGTGTACCAGTCTATTGAAAAGCTTCCCATATAGACCAATGAAACATTTCCCTAAGCATTAATGACTCAAAGCAACAATTTCAGGTAAGTTACCACATTTTACAGACATCCCGGTGTGCTCCTCCAATGGCGCGCTACCAGAGGTAGAGGAGAAGGCAGCTAAACCCCTCTCTTTATCCCCTTTGACAAGTCTGGCGGTTTGCCTCTACCTGCCCAAACTGGTCTATCCAGTCTAGGAATGAGTGCTTGCGTCTATTGTGTTCTCTTTTTCTTTCCATTTAAATAGATTGGAATCTGATACAGATCATAATATGACCCCATTCAAACAAGAAAGTTCCGCTTTAACAAGCTCACAAACAATTTTTCTGCCACCTCTTCTAAATGACCCAAATTTCCAACATACTAACTACGCTCCAACTAGGGTGAATAGAAAAAGACTATTGGAAAGACAGCATTTAGAGAACTGAGGCAAGCCATAGCGACGGACTAGAAGAAGGAAATGATAAGGAACTTATTTCAAGTTAAAAAGTTACCCTTTTCCTCCTTTGAACGGTCCACTGGCTAGAAACCAGATATGAGAGACACCATTGTAAGTTGGTCAGTTGTGCTGCCTCGGAGTCTGGTCTTCCTCTTTCCTCTTCTCGTTGATCGACGCCCTGTTTGCCTCGCTTTTGGGCGGAAGGAGACCATCTTGAGCTGGCGACCGGATTCCCGACTAGGAGGTTGACGTGTACCTAACGGCAGGTAGATATCAACTGGTAAGCCTTTGTCTCTGCGAAGACACTTGCCGGTTGCTTGAGGCGATGAGACCTGTTTAAGCTCTTTGAGAAGAGAGACGGAATTTGTAAAGGTCTTGCTTTACATGTAGCAGGCCCCTCCCATCCCCACAGGTGTAATTTTCATGCCGCAGCCAATCTCCTCAGCCTCTAGCGCTTGCAGGTGTGTCCCTCGCTCTGTGATAGGCCAGTCCCGCCCCGGAGGACACCCTCCACCTGCCCCCCGCCCAAGGTGCTTTGCGAATGTTTATGATGTCAGCTTTAGCTTTGTGTGTGGCTCTGATGGGATTCAGAAACTGGCTTCCGTAGTCCGGTGAGACCACCACAAACAAGCCGAAACCCACACCCTGTTCCGAAGAGACAGAAGGACTGAATGAAGAAGAGTTGTAAATGGATCTGGACTCTGGCCTGCCTGTAAGAGGCCAGTGAACAACTGCCCTTTGCCCTGTGTCTTATGAGTATTCTCATGCCCTGACCTGAGAATCCAGCCAAACCAAGCACAAACCTGACCTGAGAATTCAATGAGTAAACTGGAAACTGTACTGGGTAGAAGTCAGAGACCACCCTTCATTCATCTTATTTCCAGTAAAAACAGCCATTAAGTACATTCATTTTTTAGCATCTGTAAAAAAACAGAGAACGTACATACAGAAAATGACACATAAGCCTCAATATTTAAATATAATATCAGATTTTATAAGATCAGTGTTAAATGTATCCATCCTTTGCCTTTATCACAGCTGCCAGTCTTTTTAAAAGACTTGCTTTTAGTTTTTCAACGACATCTGCAGAGATATCACACCTCCAAATTTCTTAGAAGTTCATTCTCAGGATCCAAATACTTACAAACACATTGAATGATGTTAAGGTCTGGACTCTGGGGTGGACAGTCAATTGTTCTGAGAACATCAGTAGCTTCTTTGTTTGTTTCACGAATTTAAGTTTTCTTCTTCCTGTTTCTTTTTCTCAGTAACAGCTTCTTAACAGCTACATGTCCTTTCTGACTCATAATGCTGACTTGTTTTAGAAGGTTGGACAGAAACTCCTGTGGATTTTTTCAGATCTAAAGCAAGAGTTGAGCTTATTATTTAAAGATGAAATCGGTACTGTTTTTTTTTGATGTAGGACAGTTTTGCCAGTCTACCAGGTCTTGCACAATTGTTAGGAATCTTGATTTCTTTGTATCATTTAAT